TGCTTTAAAATATGTCTAATTTTAAGGAATAATTAAGGGATAAGACTCATACTAACTAAACTTTTGATAAAAGTATCATACAAAATCTTTTTCCACATTATATGCCATCTTATTATAACATAAATGGTATGACAAAGCTAAATACAAAAAATTATTTGGTCATTCCATATATAACATCATTTATATTTACACTTAAAAAGTTTACAATAATGCAAGCATACGATGATTTATAATTGTTATCTTTATCATTGTTGCGGACGAGAATATATACGGCAATAGAGTAAAAAATATAACATTTTAGCAATGTACGTATATCTGACATACCAACAAATAGTTGAGAGAGAGAGAGAAACACCAAAAAACTTTTTTTTATTTCAAAAATCCAGAACGAGAACCCACGGGGCCTAACCCAAATGAGAAAATTCTACTAAGTTTGGATGGATTACAAAGTTCCATTCTCCCTTTTTACTTTTTAATACATTATTTTTTTTATTGTTTCATGGTCTTTAATATAACTGCCTCATATTTGGATTGTTGTGTTAACTTTTAATTTCTTTTAAGCAAAGTATCTGCCAACTTAGTATATAAGCATGTCATGTACTGCGAAGGATGGTTTATAACTAAAAACTTTGAATTCATCCTAATCTCTTGAGTACTTCGTACAATATCGTAAGGTAGATGGCATAATACCTTATTCATGGAACCCATGCCTATCCTAGGAGGGCTATGAAGGAGGTGTCACCATCAATCACATGAAATCTGACATCTATATAAAATTTCTCAAATATAAGTGGTGGATAAATGATCCTATTATTTTATTCCCATTCTCGTTAAATTCATGTAATATTATTTTGTCTCATATGAGGTATTAAACATCAAGAGACAATTATCATAGTGTCCACAAGTTCATAAGATTTATTAAGGAACATTGCTCAATCAAATTATAGCGTGTTGTGATGGCATCGTTTTCAATTATGATGTATAAAGCACATTTGTGCTATTTTATACCAAGCAGGCGATCATTCTCAGAGAAAGTGACAATTCATTCTTTGTGAGCTCATAGAACTTCAATTAAATAATGTTCAACGAAGTATAATTCATATATATTCAGATCTTTAAAAGCCTAAATGAAAGCCTTTTAAAGACTTTTTGATATAACAAAGCTTCATATAAGCTAAGCTGTGCAAAAATTTTCGCAAACGAAGACATGATATTATATTTTGTCCCTTTGCCTAAAAAAGACATATTCTTGAGATATTTGAGAATGATTTCTTCAATTTATTATAATGCATTTTTCCTCATTTTTATATGACGATATCATTTTTCCAATGTTACTTTTTGAGAATCAACTTTTTTGCTAAGAAAACCCTTTGACTTTATTTTTATATTTTATATTTAATAGATCTGTTGCTGCTTGACTCAAGCTATGAATTTAAGAAAAAGTTTGCTCATAGATATTTGAGTAATTGAGATGACACAATATATTTTAATTCGAAGAGATTCTTCAAAGTTTCTCTTTCATATTTTTCTTTTGCCTCTATAAACATAAAATTGAAAAACTAGTTGACTTGCCTTGCAGGTTGATAATGTTCTTCTTTAGCTTTTTTGGTCTTATTTTCTTTAGAGGTTTATTTGATAGAGTTCGACCAGGCCATGATGAGCAAGCTTGGTTGAAATATCCTTTGATTGGAGGTTTAGGAGTTAATGTCTTTATGCTTGATTTTTCTTTCAACTTGAGCATTGGTTTAATTGTAGATCTCCGTTTAATGTCCGTAACTCCTTCAAACTACTTTAACATCTTTACTAATTTTTTTGAGACCTCAATCTCCTATTTCTCATATTTACTTCAAATTTCTTTTGTTTTTTCTTTATTTGAGGTCGTAAAAAGGCAGTTTTATTGTTTCCTCGAACTCAAAGTAATCAGCTTGTCGATTTGAACTGATTTACCTTATGGAAATGAGTCCAATCTCTCAATTTCATTGTTCTGCAAAATATTTTTTTTTTGTGTTTCCTTAATTAAAGGTGCCTTAACATATGAGATGACCCCAAATAAAGTTGTCTATACAACATATACAGTCAATTCTATTTGATACGTACTCAAAAAATTATCTTGATCGGGCACAAATCTCAATGCAAAATCAAGTTGGAAACTTTCAAAATTAAAATTTGGATCTTTCAAAATTAAAATTGGGATCATCCGAACTCCGATTTTAGCAAACTTATAGTCAAACTGAACGTCTCGGAAATACGAACCCAGCGACACCAAATTCGACTCAATCCGAGCCCAGATGAGTACAAATCAAGTATCTGAAGAGCTATTGGAAGGTTCAAACCACAATTTGGATTACCAAACGGTTTCCAAACATTACGTGCTTATAGTCGAATCGAGCGGCTTGACAAGAAGAATCCAATGAGCCCAAGATCATCGAATTCCGACATCATTAAAACCTTCAAATGTCTGACAAACGGTTTACGATCAAGGGATCCAACATCGGCCGTCCATCCAACCACTCTCCATTTACCCTTGATCTCTCATCTATCTACGGGCTAGGCCACTCCAGAAATCTATAAATAGACCTCTCATTCCTCTTGAAAGGGGACCGAAACAAGAAGATAAGAAGGAAGAAGATAAGCAAGAGAAGGAAGAAGCTCCTCCTCGACCACCGCCAGACTTTCGCCGGACCACCACTTGAGGCCCTCACCTCCGCTGGACCATCGCCTAGCATCATTGCTCCGCCTGACCACCACTTGAGGCCCTCACCTCCTTTGGACCACCGCCTTATGCAGTTGCTCCACCGGGCCACCACTTGAGGCCCTCACCTTCGCCGGACCACCGCCTGACGCCGTTGCTCCGCCGGACGACCACTCGAGGCACTCACCTCCATCAGACCACCACTTGAGGCCCTCACCTCCGTCGGACCACCGCCTGACGTCGTTGTCCCGTTGGACCACCATTTGAGGCCCTCATTTCTGTCGGACGACCGCCTAGCGTTGTTGCTCCGCCGAACCACCACTTGAGGCCCATACTTCTTCCGACCTCCAACACCTACTATGATTGTTTCGACCTCCATCATCAAACAACATTCTTTCAGATCCCGGTCTCCCGCCAACTACGGTCCTTAAGAACTCCATCGCCTACTATGGTCGTTTCGACCTTCATCACCAAACAACGGTCTTTTCAGACCCTTGTCTCCTGCCGACTACGGTCCTTCCGACCTCTGTCGCATACTATGGTCATTTCGACCTCTATCACCAGACAATGGTCTTTCAGACCCCGGTCTCCTGCCGACTACAGTCCTTCCGACCTCCGTCGCCTACTATGGTCGTTTTGACATCCATCACCAGACAACTGTCTTTCAGAATCCTGTCTCCTGCCGACTATAGTCCTTTTGACATCAGTCACCTGCTATAGTCATTCTGACCTCCATTACCAGACAACGACCTTTCTGACCCCGATATACTGCTGACTATGGTCCTTTCGACCTATGCCGCCTACTATGGTCATTCCGACCTCCATTAATAGACAACGGACTTTTTTGATCCCGGTCTCCTGCCAACTACGGTCTTTCGGACATCTGTCTCCTGCCGACTACGGTGCTTCCGACCTCCATTACTAGACAATGATCTTTTCGACCTCTATCCTGTCGACTATGGTCATGCCAACCAAACAAACACATCTATGTTGATTATTATAACTCCCACCATGTAATGCGCTCTATATGATGTACATTTGTGACATTAAGCCAAGGCCGTCTCCTAAGGAAAGGGCCTCATTTGTAATCAACTGCAAATACTAGTGGATTCATTCAAATTGGGTCAGGCCCCGTGATTTTTCTCCCTTTTCAGGAGTTTTCACGTAAAAACTCTTGTGTCTCTTATGAAAGCTACACTCTCTCCCTTATCTGCTTGTGTGTTAGATCTTCGTACAATGCTAAGACGTTAAGCTATATATTTCTCTAATGCCGTGAATACTCCAGGACGTAACACTATTCATCTTCATGAGACAAATGCATATTTGCAAATTTTAATAGTTTCATCTCCTAAAAATATGCTTCATGGATCACTAATATCACTAAAAATACAAAGTTACACCTATTGATATCTTTGTCATATCATTATGCATCTCAATTTTAAAGGGCCAAAATTAAGGATCTTACATAAAAAAAGGTTAGGATACCCTATAAAAAGGAGGTCAAAATGGGGCTAAAAGTTTTTAGATTTGCTTTAAAATATGTGTAACTTTAATTACTTATATATCACACTAATTTTAAGGAATATTTAAGGGCTAAGGCTCATACTGATTAAAATTTTGATAAAAATATCCTACAAAATCTTTTTCCACATTGTATGTCATCTTATTAAAACCCCAATGGTATGACATAGCCAAAAAATAACTATTTATCATTCCATATATAACATCATTTATATTTGCACTTAAAAAGTTTACAATAATGAAAGCATATGATGATTTATCATCCTTAAGTTTACCATATGTTTTTTTTTTTAGAATTTGTGATATATATATTTTTTCTTGCAATAGAAATAAGCAAGGGTGGAATCAGGAAAAGTTCAGGATGGGCAATTGCCCAACTTGAAATTTTTTTTTTAAGAGAATAAGCATTTTAATTATTATTCATATTCAATAAATATAATTGTCCAAATTTAAAGAAAAAAATATTTTTTTTCTTTCATATATTGTGCATTTCAAAATCATTTATTATTTCTTCCTCAAAATAAAAATTGATTCCACTATACTAAAAAAAAAAGTTTAAAAAATAATTAAAAAAAATGGTTCAAAATGAAGCCTTAATTTTCTTAGTAGATCAGATGCAAAATTTAATGTGTTGTGAATCTTACGAACATTTATTCGATACAAAATATAGTTAAAGCAGTTGCATTCATTTTTCTCGAGAATTTAATTACAACTATGATTTTAATTGTATGCAACTATGCAAGCAGTTATATATATAGCTGTATGCTGTATCGCGCTATTCGGACTCCGCAGCTGGCGTCGACCCGCGAAGAGAGAAAATTCCCCAACCCTCCAACTCCTCTTGATATTCAACCCTCCTAATCCCTTCCGCATGCTTGACCATGACGATCGCTGATGCCGAGATCGAGATAATTTCTGACGCCAAGTCGAACGATCTTCCAAACGGAAACCCCAATCCTTCTAAACCCGCTGAACCCATCATCGTCGATGTCCACTCCGCTTCCGCCTACGGTGACCTCCAGAAGCTCCGTTGTTTTGTTGAGACGGACGGTCAATCCCTTTCTAAGCCCGACGGCAACGGATACTATGCGCTGCAGTGGGCTGCGCTCAACAACTACGCCGACGTTGCACAGTATATAATCGAGGTAACTTTCCACTTCACGACGCTCGGTTAGGGTTTTATATGGCTGTGCTTGAGTAGGGTGTGGTCGTGTGCCGTGTTTTTTTCTGAAGCATGGCGGTGATGTCAACGCTGCGGATAACACGCAACAGACAGCTCTACACTGGGCAGCGGTTCGGGGTTCTATAGCTGTTTCTGATGTGTTGCTTCAGAGTGGAGCTTGGATAGAGGCTGCGGATCTAAATGGTTACCGGGTAATTTTTTGATGGTTTACTGTTTCTTATTTTATGCCATCCATCCTTGTTGGGATGAATAGCGAAGCGGATGAGTAGAGCTGAGGAATATGGTGTTGTTTTCTACCATTTGGTTTTTCAATAATTACAATGGATAGAAGGCTTGTTAGACGAATGCACGTGCTATTTGAGATAATTTCTTTTGGTAGCCTAAAAGATTTGGATTTATATGTGTGTGTTTAACTCTGGAACTTTGCTTTAAGTTTATGCTACCATATCCTTACTCCGAACCTTGAAAAGAGAAACGGTGAATGGAACTATGACTACTAATCCTCTATATTTTTGTAATCCTTTTTGAATGATGTAATCTATTATGTATGGTTTATTAGTTTATAATTCTGTAGTCATCGTTGCTTTTCCTTTCCCATTCCTTGAGCTTTGAACTTAACGCCGTCTTTTTCCAATTGCACCATATATACTTAGTGCCAGTTAGTGGAAAGAAAGAAATGTCCAACTATGTTATCGTCTTGCATGCTAGTCATCCTTGCTAGATTGACTAATTAAGTGATTGGCCAGGTGAGCAGGGCATTGAAATAGATCTTGTAACTTGTTTAGTGGTATTTTATTTTTAAATAATTACTAAGATGGTTTGTGTAAAGAATACATTTGCTTACTTTTCCTCTTATTTGTGATCATTTTCTTTTGGTGGACTCTAAAATTGGATGTACATTATTATCCTTACTAAAAAGATGACAGCTGAGTGGAAGAGTGTGATGATTCTTATTTTTAAAATTAAAGGTGATGCACAAAGAGTTTACTAATTATAGAGGAATTAAGCTAATGTGTCATATTTTAAAACTATGGGAGAGAGTTATTGAGCATAAGTTACGATGTGATACTAATATTTCTCAAAATCAATTCTGATTCATGCTGGGTAGGTCTACTATGGAAGCTTTACATTTATTGAGAGGTTTGATGGAGAAGTATATAGAGAGAATAAGGAGGATCTACTTATGATATTTATTGATTTAGAAAAAAAGCATATGATTAAGTTCCAGGAGAAGTGCTCTGGAGAGTTATAAAAAAGAATGAGTTTAATAATGCTTATATTCAAGTCATTAAGGATATGTATGCTGCAGTTGTTACTTGTGTTCAAACACAATAGTTTTATCAAATATTTTCTTATTTCAGTTGGATTACATCAACGATCAGCTTTAAGCCCACATCTCTTTTGCTCTAGTCATGGATGTTCTTACTAGACACATATGCTTTTTGCTGATGATATTATTCTTGTTGGTAAGACTAGAGAGGGAGTTGAAGATAAACTTGGACTATGGAGGTCAACAGTAGATTCTAAAGGTTTTCGATTTAGTAGATCTAAAACCGAATACATGGTGTGCAATTTTAGTAGTAATAGATCTAGTGGGGGACGGTGGTTTTGGGTGATCAAGTCATTAATAAGAGTACATATTTTACATATCTCGGGTCTATTGTTCAAAGTGATTGTGAAATAGATGAGTATATTATTAGTAGAATTCAAGTTGGATGGTTGAAGTTGTGGAATGCATTGGGCCTATTGTGTGATAGAAAAGTACCCCTCAGACTTAAGGGAAAATTCTATATGATGGCGGTGAGACCTGTAATGCTTTATGTCATATAATCTTGGCCATTAAAAGACAAGCATAAAATTAAGTTAAGTGTTGCAGAGATGAGGATGCTCAAGTGGATGAGTGGCTTCACTCTTAAAGACAGAATGCGAAACGAGTATATACGGTTGGAGTAGCTCCAGTGGCAGATAAGATTAGACAGAGTCATAAAATGTCGGCCTTCCGATGACCTAGTTAGGAGAGTAGATGCATTAGTTTTGGCCTATGTTAAGAAAAGTTAAAGTAGTTCTAAAAAGATTTGGATAGAAAATATTAGAAATAACTTTTTTTATTAAATTCAAATAAAATTTTTACTCTTAACAAAACACAATGGAGAAAAATGATTCATATTGTCGACCCACGTAGTGGGATAAAGGCTTGATGTTGTTGTTTTAGTATTATCATCCTTACTCTGTAATATGGTGAATGGAACTATGTTTGCTAATCCTGCCTTTCATCATAGCTTTTTGTAATCCTTGTTGAATTCTATAATTTACTAGATAAAGTTTATGAGTTTAGAATCCTACGCTCGTTTATGCTTTTCCATTCACATTCCCTCCTGCACTTTGATCTTAACTTTTTTTTTCTTCAATTACAGCATGCGCAAACTAAAGAAAGAAAGAATTGTCTAGCTATGTAATGTTCTTGAATACTAGACTACTAGTAACCCTTTTAGGATGATTAGTGAAGTTGATGGGTAGTTGTCACAGCAGAGTAGTTTGATCCTTTTTACTGATATATTGGTTGCTAACCAATTACTAGCATATTGGTTTGATGGAGGAAGGCATGTGTTAATTTATCATCTGACTTGAGATCATTTTCTTTTGTTGTCGTCTAAGATTTGAATTCTTATTACTGCGTTTAACTCTGAAACTCTGCCGTAGGTTTGTGCTGCCTTATCCTTGTTATGTACTATGGATTAAAAACAAAAAAAATTAGTGAATAAAACTTTGTTTACCAGTCCACCATGGCTTTTCAATTGATTTTTCTATTCCTTTTTTAATGATATAAATCTATTGTATATAAATAAGAAGTTCAGTACTCTACACTTCCTTACCTATTTTATCTTAACATTTTGCGCCATGCACTCGCAAACGAAAGAAAAAAATAAGTCTAACTATGTCTCCCTCCATATGCTCCTTTGCATCAGGCAGTTCATGTTGCAGCTCAATATGGCCAAACAGCTTTCCTAAATCACATTGTTGCAAAGCATGGTGCTGATTTTGATGCTCCTGACAATGATGGGAGGAGCCCTCTTCATTGGTATATATTTTTCAAGAAAATTGATAAACGAAGTTTTGAATCTTTGAAGCTCATAAGATACTCTATTTACTTTGAAACGATTCTAATCTTTTATTTATGATCATTGAAATTGTCTTTTCATGAATTTTTCTTATGTGTCATTTTCCAATATTCAGTTTTTTTTTCAATAGTCGTTAAAGTTTACTCCCTTGTTTTCTTTCCAGAAAGTTCTTGTAGCTTCACTAACCACAGTTTTCTGTTAGTGTGCTCTGTTCTGTGGCATCCAATATCAATAGAAATATGATCCATTGATTTTCATATGAACTATTTTTTTTTTAATGATATGTTTAGGGCTGCTTACAAGGGGTTTGCTGATACAGTTAGGTTACTTCTGTTTTGGAATGCTTGCCAAGGAAGGCAAGATAAAGAAGGTACCCTGTGAATGGATTTTGATTGCCTCTTTTCCATTTCGCATTGGGTTATAATATATATATGTATATTTTATGCTGCAATTTGCCACTTGTTCTAATGTAACAGTTATTGAGGTGTTTTTAGTGGAATATTGAAGACCTGTATGGAAATAAAGGAAAGAAAAGTTTCAAATATTAACAAACGAGATGTATAAATATAGTCATGACATAACAATTGCACATTAGTTGGCCCTACTATTCTGCTATTTCCTTTTCCATACTTGATTTATTTGTCAAGATTATAAATCCAGCAGAGAAAGATACTACTGCAACATTTATTTTCTATTTTATCCATGGGGTTTATTGCCAAATTGGCAGAAGCTATTTTATGTTTTTGGATTATGTATGCAAATGGCTAGATTATGACTTTGTTTGATATGGTTTTTTTGCTTCATGCTTCTGCTTCTGCTTCATTGAATATTAGAAACAATTTTAGGGTGCTTTTCCAATAACTACGAGAAAAAGTTAGGTAATATGAAAAATGATAATAACATTTTTAGAACTGCACTTTATGCAGTTTTCCTAAAAAAATGGTTTCATGGATTTTTAAATTTTTTAGTGAATTGTTTAATTATCTATTTAATTAATTATACGCTTGTTAATGTTAGAGTATTATATATATTTTAAATTCATAATAATGTCAATTTTGATCATTCAATCTGCTCATTTTAGAGCTATACCAATACTCTAGCCAACAAGCACAATTTTTACAACCTGCAGACAACAAATTTAACATTTTAGCAAATAATCATTTACTTTTCTCAATTAAACAACACAACGTTATGCAACAAAATAGAAGACACCAATGCCAAACAAAGCCTAAATATATCTTGCTTTCAACAAGTTTTAATTCTTAAAGATATCATGTAGTAAGCACTTCATAAGTATCCATTGACTTGTTCCATTTAAAAATTAGTTAAGAAATCAGTAGTAGTTTAGTTCTCAGTATGGCTATAATATATAGTCCCATACATTTACTTACTATGTGTCATTTAGGATTTATTTGGAGAAGTTATCTCATCGCTTTACTTTTCAGACTGTTTCCACACTTCTATTTGGTTACTGATTTGCAAAAAAATTTTATGGTTGGAAACTATTTTTTACAAAAAAGATTTGTTAGTTTGTGGTAACTATAAGAAAGATATTGTCCAACTTTTTTCAAAAATAAAATATTTATGATGCCCGCAACATCTTTAAAAAAGTTGCTTTTCTCACAACGAGTTTACAACCACCTTAACAAAAAATTGCAGTCGCCTCAAATGGAACCTTAATCTTATTATAAAACATGTGAGGAGAATAGATATTTATTTCTACATGATCTGCTTTGTAGCTACCTACTATAAATCACATTTCAAATTGTGATAGTTTTTATCTACTGTCCAAGCTTACATTGTTAATAATGCGCTCACCCAATCTGTAATACCTTTTTATTAGGCTGCACGCCTTTACACTGGGCTGCTATTAGAGGTAACACAGAGGCATGTAATGTACTTGTCCAGGCGGGTACTAAAGAAGAATTGACCGTGAAAGATAAATCGGGATTCACTCCAGTTCAGCTTGCCTCAGATAGGGGTCAAAAACATGCTGCCATTATTCTTGTAAGTGCATATTACATGCATGCTGCAATAAGAACAAATAACATTGGGAAAACATGCATAAATGAATTTTCATTCTAGATTTATATTGTTTTTTTGAATGAGTTTGATGAGGACATCGACAGACGCTACCGACATGTTTATCGACGAAGGAATCGTAGATCTACGGCTACGATTCAGCACCTCTACTTTTGATACATTTTCCATGTTATGTTTATTTAGTTATTTATTGTTTTCCGCATTTACCCCTTTGGGGAATCGTCTTGTTATTGTAGCCCAAAGGAAAATTTCGTACTTTTCCTTTTCATGATTGGAGACCTATATATAGTGGTCTAATATGTTGTAATCTTCTGGATGAATGATATGATATTTTATTTTGTCTTCTTCTTCTTGTGAGTGCACTAGAGAGAAGGGAGAGAGAGCTCAAGATGAGCAAGTGCAATACCCACCAGTAATTGGAAGAGTCTGTGACTTGTGGTCTCCATCTTCCCTCCCCACCTTCCTCTCCATACCCGCCGGCCAACAACCACCCTCCTACCGAGCTCCACCATTGCACCCACCCAGATTCAAATCCTACCTTCTAGAAGCACCAAATTCCCCTCTCCAACAGGCGGCTCAAACCTCCCCTCCTCACACCCGACGTCATCCCCCAAGCCCCCATTGTCGCCGGCCTCCCCATTGGATCCACCTCAATTATGACGATTTCAATCGTCATAATTCCCCTCATAGATTAGCTCCATGGGAAAAGGAAAGTAATTACCCTTGTTTGAAATTTGAAATTCAAATTTCAAATACTTTCCTTATTTATCAATCTTAATTAGGAAAGTATTTAGTCATGAATTCAATTTAAATTCAAATAAATTGAATTTATTACTATCTTTCCTAATTCACAAACATTGTTTAGAAACTCCCAAAATCTCTCCCTAATCCCTCTCTCTCCCCTCATGAAGCCGCCGACCCCATTAATAGGTATTACCCATTAAATGCCAATTAAACCTAAGCCTTAGTTGGATTTGAATTCAAATTTTCAAATTCAATTCCCTCCAAAATCACTTAAATCTGAAGTAATTTCAGATTTATTATATTTCCCTCCCCTCTACTCATCTAACCTTATCCTCTCCCATCCAAGCCCCCCCCCCCCCCCCCCCCCCCTCTCCCCCCCCCCTCGCTCTACCTTGGCCGCCCCTTCCTTGCAACCCCTCTCTTGTGAAACCTTAGTTGCTCATAATACTTGAAGCCAAGAGAAGAAGATGACGTCCTCTCCCAATCTCATCAATTATGCATGGCCGATCCTAAAATCGACCACATATTCATATTCGACGAGCAAGGAAGGACGAATATTCTTGGATCCCCGTTCTTTGACATTTTCCTTGGCAACGACGAAACTGTTGAAGGGTACATTGACCGCATCTTGTACCAACTGACATTGTCAATTGAAGAGCACCTTCCACCAAGTTGTTGGACCATCATCGGCCATCCACCGCCTCCTCCACCACCGGCTACCTTTCCATCAACGAAGATCCTTGGCGCTGTCTTCTTCATGGTAATATCTTTCATCATTTGGTTCGCTCTTCTCCGCTAAAGCCCAAAGAGTGCATGAGTGAGATGGTACTCAAGGTGAACCTCTCTTTATTAAATGGTGGATTATGTTATGAGCACTTAGTACTTATTATTTGTCTAGAATTTTGATTGGATTGTTCGGTTCATATCAAAAGCACTTCTTTGCCTAAGCAAGTATACACTTTAAATTCCTAATTCTTCTCTTTTTCAAGCAATAAGTTTTTCATCAATAAGTTTTAATCAATTACGCTTTAATTTCTCAAGTAACTCCATGTAGTTTCTCATCAGAATTTGAGTTTGAATTTTGTGTACCATGCATACATGAACTAGAGCTGTAGAAATATGATATTAATCTTTTAGTCCAGTTCTTAAGACAATATATGCACTTTTTAACTGGCAATTTTAAAATATAAATCATGAACATTTTGACAACTAGATAACATGTCTTTTTTTAAAATTGCATATTTGTTTTCTAACACCAATCTTTGCTCTTAGAGAATCATGAGCGGAAGTGCGCGTAGATGTTAAATCATATTTTTTTTTAGGTTAGGCTGGTTGTTTTTCCCTAACATGTCAATGTTTGTATGAAAAGAATTTAAATGATGATTGCATTTAACTTGCACACTAATAATTCTTAAGTTACTCATTTTAAATTTCAAGACTCTATATCATTTTCTAAAGAGATGATCTTATCTTGTGAAGTTAAATTGCAAGTGGATAAGACATTGCAATCTTTTTTTGAGTTTTTCATTTTCCTTTTCAAGCAATGAACATGAAACTGGTTATCATTCAAGAAAAACAAGTCATGCTTGAAGAAATTTCATTTAGCTAATCTTCCTAGGAGTCTGAATGAGTCAGGCCTTTTTTTTCCCTCTCTTTTTTATTTTCACGTACAAAGATCATAAGGCCTTTGTGAAATTCATCATTCTCTTTCTCTCTTTTATTTTTTTTCTTTTGTCCTTCTTTTGTTGGCAAGTTTTTTATTATTTAGTTTGGTAATATTTTGCATAAGAATTCATTTTTTTTCAACAATCTTCTCACCTATCTTAGAAAATTTTTCAAAACAAAATATGAGAACATTCATAATATCTTTGCTAGTTTTCAAATGAGAAATTTGTACAAATTCTTTTGGTAAAATTACTCATTGAAAATAGCCAACTGCTTTATCAGTTATACTAGAAAAAATGACAAAAAATGGTCTCTCAAGTCCTCCAAATGGGACTATTTTGGTCATGCCCTCAATTTTAAATGAAAAGATAAGATGGGCAGGAGAGTATTCTCGAAACAAGTAAAGAAGAAGCGCGCGAACGGAAGGAAGACATCTATTCGCAACGAGCAAGCTCCCGTCGTCGTCGTTTCCTCCGATCGCTGTCGATTTGGCCGAAGAAGCATGCAAATGGAAGAAGGATAGCTACTTTCGCAACGAGCAAGCTCCTATCGTCGTCGTTAATTCTGATCGAATAGATGAACAACTGATGATGACATCCGACCTTGGAGAGTCTACCAGAGGCGTGGACGTCGATCTACAGCCACGATTGTACCGCTTTACTTTTGATTATCATTGTATTAGATTTATTTCTGATGTATTAGTTTATTATGTTTATGAGTTTTATTGTACCTTTCCTTTTATTCCCTCACTTGAGGGCCTAGTCATGTGTATGCCCTAGGGGCAAGTTAGTTTTTTGTATTTTCTTCATTATATTGGCTATTTAAAGCCTCCTCCTTTGAAGGGATGATGAATAATATTATGAATTTTTGGCACTTATGTGTTTTGAGAAAACTTGAGAGTTCTTGAAGAGATTGAAGTCCCTAGGCGAGGGCATCGCAATACCCACCAACTGCAGGAAGCTCCCGAGTTTGTGGTCAAGTCGTCGCTCCCCATCCTCCCTCTCTTCCCCTTAAACCACCGGCCAAATCCCTTCCTCCCTCTCTTGGCCAAAACCCCCATCTCCCCTAATCCTAGGCCGGCCACCTCTCCCCTCGCTCTCTCTAGGCCGAGCACCACTACCCCTTCCTCCTCCTCCACCTGCTGACCCTAAGCCCCACCACCACCGGCCTAACTCCCCAGCACCCTAATTCCACCACCAACCCAAGCCGTCGGCCCCCTAGTCCCTTTCCCTTCTTAATTTCCCTATTTCTTAAATTAGTTGATATTAATTTGGAAAGTTTTGAATTTAAATCCAAATAAATTTGAAATTCAAATCCTTTCTTAAATTAATTAGCCTATTTTAGGAAACCCCCTTCAATCTTGGATTGATTAAAATCTGAAATCAATTAGCATTGATAGCCCCTCCACATTCAACGAATGTGGTCACCTCTCTCCCCTCTCTTGGCCAGCCCCCTTACCCTCTCTCCTATCTAATTAATTCATCCAATCAAATCCCTTAATCAAGCCCCTTGTATGGACGACCCCTCCCTCTCTGTCCAATTCAAATATCCCACAATAATTCCATCCAATTAATCTCTTCCCTCATTAGGAATTAATTTATATTATCCCCTCTAATTCTTTCCTCCCCCTCTACTTAGCTGCCGCCCCTTTAGTCTTCACCAACTCTTGCTATCCAAATCAGTTCCTGCTTGCTGTCTGGCAATAACTTAGGTGCTGTCTAGAAATTCCTGCACTCTTCCTTGCTGTCCAGTCGCTTGGAGAGGTCTCTGATTGTTGTCCACTAATTTATGGTGATCATGAACAAAATCACGAGTTCGTTTACGACGACCAAGGCCACGTCGATATCCTCAACTCACCATTCTTCAACCTCAACCTAGAGATTAACTAAACTGTGGAGGAGTACGTAGAGAGGATCGTCTTCACCTTTGCTGAAGCCATTGACGAACAACTCTCCTCCGTGCAGTGACAGATTATTTCCAAACCCTGACGAAGGTAAACTCTTCCTCCAAATTTTATATATTCCGAATTGCTCTCACTTGTGGTCATAATTGATTCATAAAGTTTGTGTTAACTCCCTCCGCTAAGCCTAGTATTCTCAAGAGTTAAGTAAGGGATCTCTTTCGTAGTGACTAATCTCATTGTTAATTTAGAGATTTTCCATTTAAAATATTTCACGTATGTTATGCTTGAGTAATTAATTATTTGGTGATCTTAACTTCTAGTTGTATGATTTGGCCTTAAGCTAGTTTCACCCTTCTCTTATTTTCTTCATTGTTTAAAATCTCTGCAATTTTAAAAACTAAATATTGCTCTCAAATAAAAGCGTGCAATTTCTTATTTAACATTGCCTAAACATTTAAGTCCTACATCAACAACAAAGTGTGATTTTGGATTCGGCAGGAAGGAGATCGTCGAAGGAGGTAAAGAATTTACTTAGCTTGTCGTTCAAAACTCTATCTCTTATGCGAAGGAGGCGAATTCGAAGAGCAACGAACAATGGAGAAGGGGTAAAGAAAAGTTAAAAAAATAATTAAAATAAAAAATTAATTTAAATTTTAATTATATTATTTATATTAATTGTTTGGTAATAATAATTAAAATTAATAGTTATAAATATAATAAAAATCCCCTAAGAATTGTCGAGAGTTGAGAAAAGAGAAGTTTAATTTTTATTATTAAATAAATTATGTATAAGTACTAAAACTAAAATTATGGTGGTCGTGGATAGATTGAGTAAGCATGCTCATTTTATTTTCCTACGACACCCCTACACAATAGTGACAGTGGCATCAGATTTTATCAGGGAGCTGGTCAGATAAAAAGAACTTGTCATTATGTTGACCTCTTTGTGCATAGGGAACTTGCCATTAGCTTTTTAATGAGCTAGCTCATCGACAATACCAAAGAAAAATATGGCTGAAACATTGTGCTTTTATTATCTTTCTTTTAGCACTCTTTTTTGTATCCACGTTCATGTTTGGTGCAGTTAGAATTAAATAAGCCTAATAATGTTTTCATATTCTCCTCAAGCTTGTTGATCTTCCCATTTTCTTTTTTACCTTTTTGAGTTAATTTTCAAGATTTACCTAGTGAAAATTATCAACGCTGTTTTTTGTGTTGGTTAATCTGTATTTTCAGTCAGATCTGAGCTTCTTTTCCTGAATTTGAAAGGAAGATTAGATTATTATCTACTTAAAAACATAGTAGAGAGTGCATAAAAATGTTTTGCATTTACATTGCTTTCAGATGTTAATACCATTGATTCTATCAGAATTCCTTATGATGGTAGGTGCATTATGTGATAGCATACAAGAAAATGTTGATGCTATTAACTTGTCACTACTATTAACTTTGTGCTTCATCTAGTCTAATGCAACCAGGGTGAGTGGCATTTTCTGTGGATATGGATTCTGCAATGGAAAGCTGGCAAAGATTGGCTATGCTCCGATTTTATTGGCTTTTCTTGTTGTTCTAGTAGTTCTCTTCATCAACTCTGTACTTGATGGTACGTAGTACTGCTTTTGATCATCAGAATTATTAGCAGATAAGAATTTCGTTAAGTTGGATAACCAACTTTGCTAGCGCTTTCTCCAGCGCCAAATTTCACAAAGATTACGGCTGTTGTTGCACTCTGGGGATGGACTGGTGTTTCCCTTGCAGTCGTTTCCTTATTTATGTTCTATAGATGTAGCAGGTAATCTTTGATCTCTAAAGGTTTATTTGTATGACCACAAATGTTTATAGTTTGTTAATATTCATTGTGTATAATTACTTCGGTAACTTTGCTTTTTTAATAATAATGTTGCTGTGTTAAACTTGTACATGTGATTTGTGAGAACGGTAGATGCTGGTTTTATAAAGAGTTGACAATTTTATGAATTATGTATCTTAAGCGGTCTGTTCTCACAAATCCTGCAAAATTTTGGGGTAACCACACAAGAGGACATCTCATCTATTTTAGTTCACTCTACACTATAAATGTCTATCTGTTCTTAAATATGATGCTTCTGTTGATAAAAGTGCGGCTTGTAAGTTATTGTGAGTTTTAGGGTGATCGTTTTGTCGACAAGGATTCTCCGTGGGTATTATATCTGCTTTAATGCAGGCCGTCTTTCTTGCTTTTATGATTTTGCTTGTAAATTTATGAAACTTCTGAGAAAATTGAAACGTTAATGGCCTATTTTTTCCTAGTTCTATTATAATAAAAGTAGGGATAATAACACCAGTGCATGTATTCAAATAGCTCAGCATTTAGCAAGCTTGAAATAAAGGGCATAAAACAGTGGACTTTGTGTTAAAATAATCTTTTTTACTTAACAAGCTTCTGGCTGTAATTGGTTTTGATGTATTGATCATCGGACTTTGTTACATTATTGCTTAATTCTGAGCACCCGTCTGTCTTAAATACCCTTCAAATCTTACCAGCTATTCATTTTTTCACACTTGTTTAGATGCAATCTTTTTTCCGGTTAGTGGCTAAGTCATGTATCTCTTCTCATCATCATTAGTCTTATACCATCTATTGGGTGCTGGTTAGTCATGTATCTTAATCCTTGCCCTTTTCAATTTGCTGTAGGGCAGTTCTTGTTTTCATTAAATTCTTTCGTTGGTTTTCATTCCATTTTGTTTATATTTAAAGAACACCCTGGTCCCAAGTTGGCGCTTGAAATTTGAATATCTTATTATGTGGAGATTTTTTTTTCTAATTGTGAGAGCCTAGAAGTGATCATTGGCTTTTTTTTTTGCAATTTCTTGCAGCAAGGATCCTGGCTATATTAAACCAAGATTCGAAAGTTCCTTGAGCAATGAAGGTGTTGATGTATGGACAGCTTGCACTTGATCATGTGAATCTTACTAATTTAGTTTTTTACTTTGGTTATTTTAATAAGTTCATATTTTAGTTGTAGTAAAAGTCAAAATTTTCTTCATTCTCTGCTGCCTTTACTAGAGTGCAAATTGGCCAAAATGCTTTCTATTAGGGAGATCAATTTAGATCATCATCACCACTAGCGTTTACCTAACTATTTGTGGGATGACTATTATAATGAAGATCATGAATACAACAACAACAACAAGATCAAGCCTTTGTCCCACTACGTGGGGTCGGCTACATAAATCCTTTTTCGTGATTGTGACCTGATAAAAGTCAAATTCTCATTTAAATCTAATAAAGAAAGATCATTTCTAATATTTTCTAACAAAAAAAAAAAACACTGTCATTGCCAGGTCCCAAGTCCTGAATGAGAAAAGTGGAGGGTTGTGTTAGGTAGTCGACAGTCAGCGTAAAACTTGTCGAATAATCATGACATGAATGAAGATCATGAATAAGAAATATTTTATGCTGGCTTCTTGCCGTCTGTGTTTTTGCTGTACTAGTTTCATGTCTATCCAAAAAGCATTATTTTTTACTTAACTCTAAAATCATCTATTCTATACTTCTTTTTTAAAACGGTCTTCTGGATTCTATTTTTTTTTTGGGTCCATTAATATCAAATTTGAGTTCGTTCTGTCTAACTTGGCATCATGTTTGCTTAATTTTAATTCATATTCTCAGTTTGATTTGCCGGTTGAAATTCCTGACTAAATAGGAAGATACCTCTAAAGTAATGTATTGTAAACGTAAATGCTGAATAGCTGGAATTTTACTAGTGAATGCACATAATGACTCATGCTGTCACACAACTGCGTGAATTTTAATTTTACTAATCTAATTGATAAATCTGAAATTCAAGGATGGCTGCATGTTTTTTTTGATAAATTTGCATTTTTATTTATTTAAATTGGCATTTATGTGTGAAGGTGAAGGACATCACATTTTACAACTTGTTTTTGGAAATAAGGCAGAACCACAGCTCCTAATTTGAGTTCATAATTAGGTAATTAGTGTGTATGAATCATCTAGGTGAGCAGCCATTGGAGAAACAAAAGGATGTCTCGCCTCATACTAGAATTTAAATAATTAAAGGGAGTTATCAATATTTTATAACATCTACATTAATGAATTTGCCTGACCCAAAGGGTTTGGTAAATCGGAATAGGCAGTTATATTACACTACTTTTAACATGTGTCAAAGCATTATAAACTGGTATGAAACACTTGTAGATCTCAAGTATTTCCTATCAATCTTTGGAAAACAGCAGGAAATCTCCACAAAAATCCACACAAAACCACGAAACAATAGATAATTTGTATTAGTTGATGCAAGGGAAATGGAAAATACCAATATACAATTGATCCTCTATTCGAGAGGATGATCTTTCTCTCTCAAATCTCTAGACACCGCTAGAGCCCAAAGGAAAACCTAAATCTAAGAGATCTCAAATTTCAGCCAAATTCAAGATGCCCTAACCTCAGGAAAACCAACTATTTAATGCATACAATTTAAAAGAAAATCTCTAACAGTCACTACATTCAAATTTCCCTCCTAAATCCCTCAAAAAATGTTTCAAAATAGCTCACGCACAACCGGGCGTGCATTCGGCGTGTACAAGAGGCGGAAAAGTCCGCCTCTGTTCGTGTAAGCCGGTCCCGTCGGACCGGCTGGATCGGTCTAACAGAAACTTGTGTTGTTATAAATGGGTACATTTCATGCAGATGTGGAGTGTTGAAAGCTTGAAGGAGAGGGAAAAGAGAGGTACAAAAAGCTTTAGGATCCGGTCATTCAAAAAGCTTTAGGATATGATACTAAATTGTTAGGTACACAACTCTTCTTAGTGTACTATTCAAGGCTTTTTTTTTTTTTTTTAGCATAGGTTTGCTTATATGTTTTTTATAATATCTTGTTGTACCTGACTTGCTTTGTCTTATTCCACTTGGATTATTTCTTGCTCTAGGTACCTAATTTTATTTAGGATATTCTAATATACTTTTGAACATTGGTAGACTTAGATCTTAGATATTGGTTTATTGTTCATTACAGGGTTGTTTGGTTTGATGTTTTTAAGTATATGCAGTTAAGAAATGTGGTAACTGATATGTATATATTTTAGAAATGCAGGAGTTATTTAGTTTGAGGCAAATTGGATGCATGAAAATCTTTGTGTTTGGTATGGTACATTCTCCTCCTATGTCTCTCTTTCTCTGTCTGTCTCTCTCTCTCTCTCTATATATAGAGGGGAGAGAGATAGAGAGAGTGATAAGAAATATAGAATAAGAGTGGGAGATGAGACGGAGATAGATGGAGACTTGGAGTTAGAAAATATGCAAGGATTAAGAGAACGATTGAGAGGGGCTACGAGGGATAGAGATGTATAGAAAGAGAGATGAAGATAATATGGATAAATATATGATAGAATGAGGTTTAGAGATGTGAATAAATGGATATAAAGATAAGAGTGAGAGAGACAAAATAAGAAGTGCCATACAAAGATTTAAGTAAGATACGATATCAAAGTAAAAATATTACAAGTCAAACTAAGTTCAACACAATAACTCTCTCTCCCATTCCCAAATCAGAGTAAGAATATACAAGGCACTAAGATTAGAATATTTAAATTTAAAGTCCCTAGCGCTCCCATCATTTAGTAAGTCTTCATTAAATCACTCTCATAATGAATTGATGTTGAAGATGGCCAATAGTTGTCGCCATGCATGTGATTGAGAGCGAGAGCTAGGGTTGGTGCCTGAGATGTGAGGCATGAGGGAGAGGAATGAATTAATAAAAGGATGGTTTAACTTAATATATTTAATTTATATTTGTTTTTTAAAAAATTAACCTAGTCCTTAAATATAAGACACATGCTTCATAAAATGAGGCATGGTGTATTGCACATGATGCGAGGCATTAGCCTCACCTGAGTCATGATAAAAATACTTGAAAGCACTGAGGTGCTCCACGTATTGTGCAATTTTAAGTCATGATGTCTATATATCTATGAATTGATGGATGGAAATGCAACATCTCTATTAAGTAAAGGCTTCAATCAGTAATTGTCGATCCATGCATTTTGTGTATCAAACACTCGATGGTGCTCTAAAATGCAACACTTAGATGATCTAAAGAGTTCAATTTGGTTGTTGTTGATGCACACATTCCCATAGATAATTATTGATGTGCTTTGGGCTTGGTATGCTTTGGGTGTGCTAGCTACTTTGGTGCCTTGGCTCTTGGGCTGATGTTGGCTTCTCGATTTGGGCTTGGTTATTCGGTTTTTGCTGTTTTGTTGGGAGCTGCTATGCTCCAGCTCATTAATGGTTAGTGGAATGCCTTTTTCAGCTCATTATTTAGGTGTCCTGGTTCTTTCCCCCCTTCCCCCTCTGTTGGCCTTTCGGTTTCTCCCCTGGCTCCTATCCTGTGACTGGCTTTTCCTCTCCCTGTGGCTGTCTTTTCTCTCCCCCGTGTGGTCCCTTCGGCTGCTACTGGTGGAGCCGGCTGCTGGTCTTCTATTTCCCCTTTTCTGATTGGCTCGGCTGGTGATGTTTGGGGCTGTTTGGCTGCCTCTTCACCTATATATATGGGTAGTTTTGTGGAGTAAAAAAAAAGAGATTATGTGAGGATTTTTGGAGATAAAAACCTGCGGGTTTCTTCTTGGAAAAGCTTGCGAGCTTGTTCCATTTTTCTTCTTCTCTCTACGAATTCGTCTCGGGCTTCTGATCTCCTTCTCTCCGCAAGTGCACCCCATATGTATCTTTCTTCTCGATGAAAGAAATGTAGTTTTAGGCGTTGTTTTTAGTTGTGTCATGTCATGTTTTAAAATTTAAGTGTGTTTGTGTCTTAATTTATGTATTTTCTCATTTTGAAAGAAAGACCTAGCTTATGTAATTTTGCGGTCTTTTTTGATTGCATCATTTGTGCACATTGATTGATAGGTGAATAGATAAATATATAGATGCATGCATTCCCTCAAATAAATCGTTTAGATAGAGGCATGCATTCCTATAGATAGATGTTCTAAAATGCAATGCCTTTATGATGTAAAGAGTATATATATATACCACAGATAGATGCATGCATTCACACAAATTTATCTGGCTCTTCAATGTTTTAAAATGCAATATATGTCTGATGTAAAGAGTTCAATAAGTTATTTTCGCTGTATGCATTTTGTCTAACGCTCTTCAATGTTTTAAATGCGATACCTATATGATGTAAAGAGTTCAATTAGTTATTATTAATGCATGCATTCCCATAGATTGATAGATAAATTGATAGTAAATTTCAATTAGTTACTGTTGATGCTTGCATTCCAGTAGATAGATAGATAAATCCCACATATAGATGCATGCATTCTCACCAATGGACAGATAGATGGTAAAATTTATCTAACGCTCTTCAATTCTCTAAAACCCAATACCTAGATGTGAAGAGTTCAGTTATTTTTGATGCATCCTTTCCTATAGAGATAGTTAAAAGGTCATGTATGAAGGCATTTAGACATGCAGCTAGGAATTCAATTAGTTTTCTAGCGCTCTTCAATGCTCTAAAATGCAATGCCAATTTTTCTAATCTTCAATGTTTTATTGTACAGAATTCTCAATTAGTTGTTGTCGATGCATGCATTCTACCAGAGATTGTTGAAAGGTTATGTGTGAATGCTTTGGGAACCTTTAGTCAGCAGTTCAATCAGTTATCTAATGGTTTTCAATTCCCTAAAATGTAATACATGTATAGTGCAAATAGTTCAATTTGTTATTGATGATGCATGCATTCCCGCAGTAATAGTTGAAAGGTGATGTATGATGCTTTTGGAAAATGTAGTCGAGAGCTCAATCTGTTATCTAATCGTGATTAAAATTTATATAACTAATGCTATCCAAAGATCTAAAATGCAATTGCCTTATAATGTAAAATGCTAATTGCAAGAACAAGAAGATTTAACCTTGCTTATGGATGTTTTTGTCCATGCATGCATGCCCACGGAGATCATTAGAAGGTCAAGCATGGATACAACAACAACAACAACAACAACAACATCAAGCCTTTATTCCACTACGTGGGGTCGGCTACATGAATCCTTTTTCTCCATTGTGTCCTATTAAAGGTCAAATTCTTGTTTAAATCTAATAAAGAAAGGTCATTCCTAATATTTTCTAACCAGGTCTTTTTAGGTCTGCCTCTACCTTTCTTAACATAAGTCAAATCTAATATCTCTACTCTCCTAACCGGGTCATTGGAAGGCCGCCGTTTTATGTGACCAAACCATCTAAGGCGACTCTCTCTAATCTTATCTTCTACTGGAGCTACTTCAACCTTTTCACGTATATGCTCATTTTGTATCCTATCTCTAAGGGTAAAGCCACTCATCCACCTGAGCATCATCATCTCTGCCACAACAATATGTAAGTGATGTGAATTGAACACCAGAGCAGTTCATCTGTTATGTTTCAGATCACAAACAATAAACTGTGCAGTAAAAACTGTTAGGTACCTTTTAAAAGGAGCGAACCGTAAGCAATTGCAGCTCCAGCATGGCCCTGTAGATCAAGTAGGAATTCAAGAAGAAAGAACAAGGAGCAGTAAATTGCAAATTGCATCATAATTCAGATGAAAGGCTCAATGAAAACAACTGTATGTGTTCCAATTCATTTGCTAGAGTTCCATGGTGAAGTTCTTTTTAGTTGATGGTGTTGGATAGCCTTTTAATGAGATAAAATAGTTGCAAATGATTATGAAACTTTAGTTTGATATCTAAGGATGTGATAAGAAGTTTGTGGTAGGAATGTAAGGGGTTTAGATGAATTTAGTGGAAGAAATTTCAAGACTAGTCAAATTTGGCCTCATCTGAAAGATCACTTTAGGGAATGCATTTTAAGTTAATTAAATGATTAGAAATGATGATGGATAGCCAGATTAGGATATGGAGTAATACATTGGAGTGCATGATAAGGTTTGGAAAAGTTTAAATGGGTGTCAAGGGATAGGGAAAAAGACTAGGCCATACTCTTGCTCAATTTGGCCGACAACCATGGGTGCGGTTTTGATGCTTGGGTAGGGAGGCGTTGGTCTTACGATAGTGAAGGGGACATCGGAGCTTGGAAAGTCTATTAGAGACGTGGCCGTTGATCTATGGCCATGATCGAGTCGATGTATTTTTAAGTCGTATTATGTAGTTGTCTTTTATTATTTTATGTTTGTATTTGCTTTTGTTATTTTTCACTTTTACCCCTTACTTAAGGGAGGTTATGTGTATGCCCAAAAGGCATTGTCGTCTTTTATTTTTGAGTCCTTTGTATGAGGTTATATATAGCCCTTATGTTCCCTTTTGATGCTTAATGATTGAATAATAAAATTTCATGCACTGTGAGTTCTTTAGAGAGCTTGAAAGCGTTTGGGAGAGA